GGTGCCATGGCTCACGGTTTCTAGATTTCTAGTGTCTTTACCAGTTTGCCAAAGACTTGAGCAGTTTTTCTGTGTGGCATTTTATAATGATTTTTCCTTCAAAAATGTAGATTCAGAAGAGTCCAAATGAAATAAGAATTAATATAGTTCCATACAAATACCAGTCTAAATGGAAAAAAACTTCCCTTGTAAATATTGAAAAGTTACTATTGGTATTCAAAGGTATATTTACTCTATAGTTTATATTAGTAAGCAAAGTTGAACATTCCTGTTAAAGCTATTAAATTTTTTTTGACAGAAGTCAGAATGGCATCTTCTGAAAGAGAATAATTTTAAAAAATCAGGCCAGGCATAGTAGCTGAAGCCTGTAATCCCAGTACTTTGGGAGGCTGAGGTGGGCAGATCATTTGAGGTCAGGAGTTCGAGACCAGCCTGACCAACATGATGAAACCCTGTCTCTACTAAAATATAAAAATTAGCCAGGTGTGGTGGCAGGTGACTATACTTCCAGCTACTTGGGAGGCTGAGGCAGAAGAATCACTTGAACCCAGGAGACGGAGGTTGCAGTAAGCCGAGATCTTGCCACTGCACTCCAGTCTGAGTGACAGAGTGAGACTCCCTCTTAAAAAAAATAAAAAAATCAATCAATCAAAGGCTGGGTGCGGTGGCAGGCACCGCACCCAGCACTTTGGCAGGCCATGGCAGGGGGTAGATCACTTGAGGTCAGGAGTTCGAGGCCAACATGGTAAAACCTTGTCTTTACTAAAAATACAAAATTAGTCGGGCATGGTGGAGCACGCCTGTAATCCTAGTTACTTAGGAGTTTGTGGCAGGAGAATTGCTTGAACCTGGGAGGTGGAGGTTGAAGTGAGCCAAGATTGTGCCACTGCACTCCAGCGTGGGTGACAGAGCAAGACTCCGTTTCCAAAACAAAAAAAAACACCATAAGAGCAACATTTGCATTATAGAAATCTTCAAAAATAGAAAAAAAAAAAAAAAAAGCACAAATTACCAAAGCATAGTCACAGTTACTTTGGCATCCTTCTAATCTATTTTCAGGTCTATTTTAGAACATTTTTTAAAAATTGTAGAACTAATGCTTGTTATAGTTGCAATGAGGAAAACAAAAACAGTAGAAAAGTATATAATCACCTCTAACCCAAATATCCAAAGATTTAGTTTTTAGTTGTTAAAGTTTTAGTTTTAGTTGTTAATGTTCCATAGTAACGTATTTCTTTTAAAGTTTTAAATAATAGATACTACCTTAAGAATATAAGCAAAATAAAAGTTATATATTACTCATAGACGAATACACAGGCATTTCATGATATTCCAAAGCGGGAAATGGCATTAGGCATCAGATGGCATGGAACTGGGAACCAGAAATCTGTTAGGAACCAAGATGGCTGCCTTGTGTGTGTCTGTCTCTCACCGTGTGGTCTGACCATGTCTTCTAGCAGACCAGCTGTTTTATTTTCCAGTATACATAATGGAAGATGGCTGCCCCGTGACTCCACTTAGGAGATCACAATCTCTCAACCTCAGTGTTACATTTCAGTGGGAGATAATGTGTTAGTACCTGCTTGTGTCAGGCGTCTGTGCCTAGTGTGGCCACTTGGGACTTTAGGGGCAGGACATGTGGTACAGAGATGGCTGCCAGGGCCTCCTCCTGGGAATGTGGATAGGGACAGAGAGTGGTGAATGGATGAGGACTAGCAAACACCTCACAAAGTGTCTCTTCATTTTAATTGACAGGTTGTAAATAGAGTTGGCCTATTAAAGTTCCCCTTTTATGAAGCATCAACAGCTTTTCCACATTGTCCCCAGTACTTCATGAGGATATAACATAATTTTTTCACTCAAAAGTCTAGTGATAAGAACAATTCTGTATTTTTTTTTTTTTACAGTGAAAATGTCTTAGTCTGTTTTTTTCTTTTCTTTTTTAAAAAACAAGGGGCTGGCTATGGTGGCTCATGCCTGTAATCCCAGCACTTTGGGAGGCCAAGGCAGGAGGATTACTTAAGCCCAGGAGTTTGTGGGCTGGGCAACACAGTAAGACCCATCTCTGAAAAAAAAATAAAATTAAAAAATAAAAGCAAGGATATTTAAATTTTTTAATCAAATTGGTTAATCCATCTCTTTGATTTCTTCTAAGACTTCTGAGCTTAGGTAGAGATTTGGTAAATGTTTAGTTCTCTTTCCTCCCAGTTTAATCACATTCATTCATTCAGCAATGCTGCGCCTCCACTGTGTGCCAAGAACCGTCCTTGGTGCTGGAGGCCCAACAGTGAACAGAGCCCAACAGTCTCCATGTTCCTGAGCTCGTATTCTGGTGGGAGGAGATAGACAACAAATAAATGCATATGTGCTGTCAGGCCGTGAGGTGCAGGAAAATAAAATAGGATGAAGGGGCTAGAGAGTGATGGTAGGGTGGGGGGTGTCTTAGAAGGGATATAAAGGAAGCGCTCTCTAAGCAACTTTGAGCAAACAGCTGAGCTGAGTGCAGGAGTGAGCCCTGAGGATTTCTGGCAGAAGAGCATTCAAGGAAAACAGAAAGCCAGTGTAAAAGCTCTGGAGTAGAAGAACACGTGGCACACTGAGGAAAAGGAAAGCTGCCAGTGTGCCCAGGGCAGGGTGAGCTGGAGAAGAGTGGATAGCATCAGAGCTGCCAGAGGCCCAGGCCTGCAGGGCCTGGTTGGCTGTGAGCAGGAGCTTGGTGGTGTGTGAGTGTGGTTGGAGGGCTTTGAGCAGGAAAGTGAATGTGAGAGTGTGTGTTAGGATGTGGGAGTCTCAACTTGTCAATCCCTTACCTTTATACCCTTTATCAAGTAATCTTTCCTTTTCCATTATTTTGTCATGCCTTTCTCATACATTCTAAGAATTCCTTTTCTTTCTTTCTTTTCTTTTTTTTTTTTTTTGGAGACAGAGTCTTGCTCTGTTGCCCAGGTTGGAGTGCAATGGCGTGATCTTGGCTCACTGCAGCGTCCACCTCCTGGCTTCAAGCAATTCTCCTGCCTCAGCCTCCCGAATGGCTGGGATTACAGGTGCGCACCACCACGCCCAGCTAATTTTTATATTTTTAGTAGAGATGGGGTTTCACCATGTTGGCCAGGATGGTGTCTCGATCTCTTGACCTCGTGATCCGCCCGCCTCGGCCTCCCAAAGTGCTAGGATTACAGGCATGAGCTACTGCGCGCGGCCTCTTTTTTTTTTTTTTTAAATAGACAGACTTGCTCTGTCGGTGATCTTGGCTCACTGCAACCTCTGCCTCCGAGGTTCAAGCAATGCTCCCACCTCAGCCTCCTGAGTAGCTGGGACTACAGGCATGCGCCACCGCACCTGGCTAATTTTTGTAATTTTAGTAGAAATGGGGTTTTGTTATGTTTGCTAGGCAGGTCTCGAACTCCTGGCATCAAACGATCTACCTACCTCAGCCTCCCAAAGTGCTGAGATTACAGGCATGAGCCACGGTGCCTGGCCTCTGTGTATTTTTTATTGTTTTTCATTCACTCATCTGTCTCTTCTTTTGACAGTAGTGCATTAAAAAAAAAAAACAGTTTTTTAGATAGTATTGCACTTTTAATGATTATAATGTTTTAATGTGTGAGATTTCCCCTTACCATTTTTAAGGATTTTCTTTGACATCCTTATCTGTTTATTCTCCCAGATGGCATTTAAAATAATTTTCTTAGGCTCTTCATTGGGATTTAATGGAAATTACATCCTGTGTAAATTAATTTAAGGAGAATTGGCATCTTTATGGAGTTTTCTCATTAAGGGACAAATCTTTGTCATGCAAACTTTTAAATATTACATCATTCCTGTTTTTCACTGTATTTTGTTGTGGTTGGTAAGAGAGGTAGTGTATTTTTTAACTGGTAATGGAACCCATCTAGATTCCATCTAGGAGGCTACTTCATTTCGTTCAAAAGCATTTTATTGAATTCTTACTGGGTGCCAGGCATTTTAGGCATCAAATCCAGAAATGAGGTCTCTAGCCTGGAATTTCATGTAGTTGGCAGGAGCTCAGAATTTATTTTTGGTATTAGGGCAGAATTCTATGGAAGAAATCATAGTGTTGTCTATCTCTCTGCCTAAAGAAATAATTTCTCCAAAGTGCCCTGTACGTATAATGAAAATAACACAGAATTGGCAGTCCTTCGTAAGACATTTTCCCATGTGCTAGGCAGAAAAACTAAACTGAGTATTAATTTTTTTGGGTAATGTTTTAAAAAGTTTTTTCCCCACTGAAGAAGTAATGTATCACCAGCCCTGGGTTCCCCATCAGCAGCTCTATAAATCTTCCTCCAAAATAAATCTTAAAGCCACATACAAGGCCGGGCATGGTGGCTCACGCCTGTAATTCCAGCACTTTGGGAGGCCGAGGCGGGTGAATCACGAGGTCAGGAGATGGAGACCATCCTGGCTAACACAGTGAAACTCCGTCTCTACTAAAAAAAAAAAAAAAAAATAGCCAGGCGCGGTGACGGGCGCCTGTAGTCCCAGCTACTCGGGAAGCTGAGGCAGGAGAATGGCGTGAACCCGGGAGGCGCAGCTTGCAGTGAGCCGAGATGGTGCCACTCACTCCAGCCTGGGCGACAGAGTGAGACTCCGTCTCAAAAAAAAAAAAAAAAAAAAAAGAAAAGCCACATACTTCTCTCTATATTAAAATGATCTCCATTTTACTACTGACCTTCTCATCCAAACCACCAGTATCCTTTACCCGCACTATTGCCATCTCTTTGTAATTAGCCTCTCTGCATTTCTTTTGCCCATGTTTACAAGCCATATTGCACACAGCAGCCAGAGTGACCTTTTAAAAAAAAACATGGAAATTGTCAAAGCTTAAGAAATCAAATAGCATAATTAATTGATGAACCCATTACCCTCCTCCAGAACTTAGCAATAATGGCCACTCCATACCTCTTCCCACTCCCTGAATTATTGTGAAGCAATTCTAGACATCATGCCATCTCTTTCTTTTTGTTTTTTAAAAATGTATTTGTTTTTCTTTTTTTTACCCTGTCAACCCAGCTTTTCCCAATTCTGGGAAGAACTGGAAAGAGAAGGCCTGCCATGCCATTTTATTTGTACATACCCAGTGCTCCTCAACTAACTGTGGGGCCACGTCCCCATAGACCCATTGTAAGTTGAAAATACATGTAAGGCCAGGTGCAGTAACTCCCACCTGTAATCCCAGCACTCTGGGAGGCTGAGGCTGGTGGATCGCTTGAGCCTAGGAATTTGAGACCAACCTGGTGAAACCCCATTCCTACAAAAAAATACAAAAATTAGCCAGGTGTGATGACATGTGCCTGTAGTTCCAGCTACCAGGGAGGCTGAGGTGAGAGGATCACTTGAGCCCAAGAGGTCGAGGCTGTGGTGAGCTGTGATAGTTGAAAAACCATTAAGTCAAACTGTTGTAAGTTGGGGAACATCTGTAGTTCAGTATATTAATAAAAAATAAGGGCACCCTTTAAGAAAAACCACAAGCATGTGATAGTTGCAAAACTCTGTGCACCTATAAAAACCATTGAATTTGTGCAGTTTAAAGGAATAAATTGTATGGTATGTTAATTTCTATCTCAATAGGGATATTAAAAAACAGCACAATAGCATCATCTTATTAATAATATTCTAGTAATTTATCAAAATAATGAAACAGCCAAAATTCATATTTTCCCAGTTATTTTTAGTATTATTATTATTTTTTTTATTTTTATTTTTTTTTGAGACAAAGTCTCACTCTTGTCCCCCAGGCTGGAGTGCAATGGCACGATCTTGGCTCACTGCAAGTCCGCCTCTCAGGTTCAAGTGATTCTCCTGCCTCAGTCTCCAGAGTAGCTGGGATTACAGGCACCTGCCACCACGCCCGGCTAATTTTTGTATTTTTAGTAGAGATGGGGTTTCATCATGTTGGCCAGGCTGGTCTTGAGCTCCTGACCTAAGGTGATCCACCCACCTTGGCCTCCCAAAGTGCTAAGATTACAGGCATAAACCACTGCACCCAGCCAATATTATAATTTTTTAACACTTTAACAGAGTTTTAAACATGAGTCAGATCATGTTACTCTTACTTAAAACCCTTCAGTGGCTCTTCATCCTATTTAGAATAAAACTCAAACTCCTTATGCTGGCTTACAAAAGTCTGGCCTACAAACCCCTTGTGTGATGTGGCTTCTGTGTGCCTCTTTGACTTTCTCTTGCCTGCTGAATTGTTCCTACCTCAAAGCCTTTGCATCAGCCGTTCCCTCTGGTAGAATGTCCTTCCCTGTATTTTCACAAGGCTGGATCCTTCTTTTCAACATAGACATCCCTTCCTCAAAGAGGCCTTCCCTGATCAACCCCTCGTTTTCCAGTCTAAAGTGGTATCCCAGTCACTCTGTCAAATCATTTATTCAAAAAGTCTGGGCGTACCGTGGTTCATTGTCTGCTATATCTTTTTAAATTAATTTATCATCTGTCTTTCCTGGCCTTCTATGCTTTCCTATCCCCCCAGTATTTTTTCTCTTATGTTCACTGCTGAATCCTCAGTGCCTAAAATAGTAATCGGTACATAACAGACCCTCATTAGAAGATATTCATACAAAAAAACTGCCAACACATACCAGGTGTTTGATATTTATAAAAATAGTATTATTTTAAACCACCCCCACCCCCCTTTTTGTTTTTAGAGACAGTCTCATTCTGTCACCCAGTCTGGAGTGCAGTGGTAGCTGGGACTGTAGGCACATGCCACCATGCCTGGCTAATTAAATTTTTTTCTTTTTTTGTAGAGATAAGGTCTCACTATGTTACCCAGGCTGGTCTTAAGCTTCTGGCCTCGAGCCATACTTCCACCTTAGACTCTCAGAGTGCTGGGATTACAGGTGTGAGCCACTGCGCCTGGCCTGAAAAGTTATCTGATAGAATATATCACCTTACTGCACAAACAGTTCCAGAGTTCTCATTGATATGTTGTTTTGAAAGGACTGTTCTAATTTTCATAGGTAGCTTTCGTTTCTCTGATAATAAGCTATTTCAGGCTAGGAGATGGTTTGATTTATTTGTGGGTTTTTTTCTTTTTCTTTTTTTTTTTTTTTTTACCTTTTGTCCTTCATTTAATGTCCTGCTCACTTCAGTATTCAATAAATAACTTTGATAAGACAAATTCCGTTTTTGTTGTTATTTGGCAAAACGTGGAATGTGCATGTGTAAGATTGGAAAAATTAACATTGATAGCTTGCTGGCTTTATTCTCCATTGTCACCTTTTTCTTTTGTCCTAAATTGTGGACCATCACACCTTCAGCTTGTGAGCCATCTCTGCTACCCGTTATGCAGCATGGCGGCTGAAGTGTAGCTGGGGTCGGCTAGAGTGGACCCCAAATTTGTGATTAGTTATGTATCTTGAGATGAGGGGAAATCCTGAATTATCCAGGTAGACCTATGTAATTACAAGTCTCCTGACAGGAGGGAGGCCTATGTATAGAGAGAGAACAGAATGCTGGAAGCAGAGGTTGGAGTAATGTGCTTTGGAGCTGGAAGAGACCCCATGTCAAGTCATGTAGTTGACCGAGAGAAGTGGAAAAGGCAGGGAAATGTTTCCCTTGGAGCCTCCAGAAGGAATGCAGCTCTGTCCACGTGTTGATTTCTGCCCGGCGAAATGGATTTCAGACTTCTGATCTCTGAAACTGTAAGATAATAAATGTGTATTGTTTAAGCCACAAATTTGTGAGTTCATGATAATTTGTTGCGAAGTTCATCTGATTTCCTGGCTTAATAGCGACCAAAAGGGAGGTCAGCAACCTCTCTCTGGTAGGTAATTTTTGGGGAAAAGAAAAAGATATAGGCAATAGAAAATGAAGGAATATTAGATGCTGCAGTTACAGCATTGATGGTTATAGTACATTTAAGCTGTTGATGGCTTTTTTCTTTGTATTTTACACAGATCAGAAACCTCTTGACCTTGCCCAGGGTGCTGAAATGAAACACATTCTTGTTAATAAGGTACAGAGTAATGAATTAAATGTATCTAATAATGTTTAGAAAAAAAGTTTGAATGTGTGAAATATGTAGATGTATTTTTCATGAAAACATGTTTTTGACAGGTCATCTACAAAGCATTGAAACGATACGAGGGCCCTCTCTGGAAGGTAGGTTGGGGTGGTTTTTTAATTATATAACTGTAAAGAATAATTCTCAGGTGCTGTATTTCTGTTTAAAACTTTTTAAAAATCATTTCTGAAGTATATGTGATTTAATCGCTCTTGGATCCTATAATGTAAACCACTTATTTTTTATTTTTAGTTTTAATTTTTGAAACAGAGTCTTGCTCTGTCGCCCAGGCTAGAGTGCAGTGGTGTACTCACTGCAACCTCCGCTCCCTGGATTCAAGTGGTTCTCCTGCCTCAGCCTCCCAAGTAGCTGGGATTATAGGTGCCCACTACCACGCCCGGCTAATTTTTTTTATTTTTAGTAGAGACAAGCGTTCACCATCTTGGCCAGGCAGGTCTTGAACTCCTGACCTCGTGATCCACCCACCTCGGCCTCCCAAAGTGCTGGGATTACAGGTGTGAGCCACCGCACCTGGCAAACCACTTTTATACTATTGGATTTCAAGAGGCTTCCACTGGTTGTAGTAGTTACTTTTCTGTGTGTTGATGGTCACTTTTAGGTGTTTTTTTGGTTTTGATGAGTCACTTTTAGGTGACTAAGTTCTTATGAAAAGGAATGGGGGAAAATACATTTTTTTTTCTTACTAGATCAAAGAATTACAGTATTATTTTTGTTATGAACATCAAACCATGGCAGACTTAGAAGAAAATTGATATTTGAATTATCACATGGTACATATATACAATTCTTCTGGTCCTAATACTTGCTACATTTTAGAGAATCCTGTTTTCTAGAATTAACCATGGAAGAGCACATAATTTCTTTTGCATTTGCACGCAATCCCTTTATCTATTTATGTATCTGTATGCTTATATAAGATAAATTTAGGATAATTTTCTTTTTTAGACATTCATTCATGACTTTGAGGAAATTGTCTTTGAAGCCCACAGCTGGTATATTTTCTGTAAATAATCCCTGAACAGTTTTGCCAGAACCATAAAGTGTAATCATCATTGATCTTATCAGTATGGCATTTCTGCTGTTCCTGTCACCCTGTGGTGGTATGTTTTCATTACTGCACTTAGTACCTGAGTTCATGTTTGATCATTTTTTTTAAATGTTCAGTACTACTGTCTAAAGACTCAAATATGACTATCATCACTTAATTACTTTTTATCAGTCAACTATTTGAATCTAGATGTGTCAGCTTGGGAAATCTTTGTTATTTTTCCCTTAGAGTTCAAGATTTTTTGGCTGGAGATTATTCTGGGTAGTGTTAGAGCATGGAGTCCTTTCGTGGTATAGGAAACAGTAAGTATTATGATCTTTACACTTAACAAATTTCACTGTATAAATTTTGAAATATGAATATTTTTCACTTATCTCTTTTCCTTTTGTCTTCATAATTTCATCTTTATTTTGAAGGCCCGATGCCGTTCATAATATTTACCGCCAGGGATGCAAACACCTGACTCAAGCAGTATGCACGGTAGGATGAAACATGGATCATTTGCTCCTCTGTGAAATCAGTTCTTCAAGTGATTGACCCAAATCATTTATACAGCATTATAAAATCTTGGGGTTCCGTGGAATGCTGTAGAAAGCACTTGTATATATTTTTATTTGAGAACAAGTAACGTCGTGGCATCTCCATTTTGAACAAAATTTTAAAATATAGTCAACTTTTATTTATCTCCATGTATAATGGAATGAGAGATGGATTGTCCAAAAATATTTGTCAGATTTACCCAGACTTATTTGATTATGAAATATCCTAGTACATGCACTTGAAAAGAATGTATATTTTGCTATTATTGTTGATTGTAGGGTCCTATCAATATTAATTCAGTCATGGTGGTTGATAGCATTCAGATCTTTTGTGTCTTGGTTTTGACTAGTAATTGTATCAATTGCTGAAAGAGGGATGTGAAAGTGTCCAGCTATGCTTGTGGAATGTTGCATTTCCTTCTCTGTTATTGATAACATACTTATGATTATTGTCTTCTCGATTAAT